CTAGATTTTCCCAACTATCTGCACTTTTCCAGTTTTTTTTATTTCAGGAATTTCACGAAATATTTCTAGTGTCCGGGGGGAGGGGGGAGAAGGTGGTCAGGAATAACAACTATTTTCAACTATCCTTTCAACTACACTAATTTTTTTCCCAACGCCGCAAATTCCTCCCAACAACAAAACGACCCCCCCCCCTCCCAACAGCGAGTAGATACGACCCCACCTTTATAGCGTCCGTGAAACAAGAGAAATCAACTATCAAAAAATTTTTCTCAGACCAAATACGACCCCCCCCTCCCTCGCGGTCAAATACGACCCCCGTTGTGATATCACAACGATGGCGTGCCCCGGGGGTAACCGTCTGGTTGTGAATAAAAGGCTGGTCAACACTGTTTTGGATTGGAAAGCTTATTGTTCTCCAGGCTGAACCGTAATCGTATGTGAATGTCAAGTTGACAATGAGTGGCGGCCGTACCGATTAGCCCGGATAGACCTCATCCTCCCGGATAGACCTGGTACCGAAACAACGAGTTAAGAACGTTGAAAAACAAGATCAGGAAAAATGAGAGTGGAGCTTTGGAGGGGCACCAGCTTGTTCTCCAACAACTAGGGTTCTTTGCCAGCTTGGACAAATGGTAGGGAACAAGCTGACGGCACCCCATAGCCGTCCCCCCCCCTCTCCGAAACGCCTTAGCGAAGGAAATTATACATCGTTGATTAACTGACGATAGTTGTTACAGTTGGGTCGTCCAGCTCAAAATCATCCAGTTATTCTGGTTAATCATGGAGAGAATCCTGTCGCATTCAAAGTGCTCACCACCGACAATTATGCATATTTTGTCAACCATGTGAGTGAAATCACTTGAAGTTCACTAGTTAGTCAGTTACTCGTAATTATTTACGTGTCAACAGAGCTCACCACACTTATAGGATTCCTCCACCGCTAAGTGAGGGCTGTAGGGTTGGTATAAATTTGCATTCTCAACACCGCTGGCCCTCTCCTATTAACAGCCACGTTTGGTGTTGATGTTCAGTGCACAATGATACTGAAGATTTCGCCCTCACTCTTAGATTGTCCCCTGTATTGAAGATGAGTTCTTGATTACAAATTCTGAGCTGAAGGCGCACTCTTAGGAGGGATTGAGGAACGGGCACGTTCTAGAAAAGAATGAGGCGGAAGTGTCGTCAGTTTCTTTAGACTTCCCCTGCTACGGTGATGTTGAGGGCGTTCGCTTGTTGTCCATTCATTGCGCTCTGGTGCTCTTGTGACTTAATGCGGCTATTCTATATTCTGTATTACAATACCCCCGCACAGCGCAGGACATTCATTCAAAATCCCTGAGATGCGATAGGCGTGGCTGCATACTTTAATAACTCTTTGTCAGCTATCACACGAGTAACAAATCCCATTGTCGCTGTCTAAACGCACGCCTACCCCTATCTCAAGGATAAGGAGTGTGAATCTACTTGAAATCCGGACACCATACAAAAAAAAAAAAAAAATAAAAAAAAAAAAAAAAAAAAAAAAAAAAAAAAAAAAAAACAAACAAATATCTCTGAAGCGCTGCTGACGGCTCTGTCGACGAGCTCGGTAGAAGTCGCAGCATCCGTTGGAAAAACAAACAAGATAGGGTGTCATTTAATTTGACCGTGAGAAATGGTCCGTAAGGCGTTAAGGGAGAAAGGAGGGAGAAAGGTTCTTGTTAGTGATATTTTCTCCGTTTCACGTGCACCACATATTCTCCCCATCTTTCGTTCCCTAGTGGGAGGCTTCGCAAGACTACCATACGATCCACTATTTTCCTATTACACTTTCCCCACCACTTTTCAATGGCTTAGTTTTGGCAAAATGAATCGGGTGTGGGTTGTATTCACTCAAGGTTTTACACAACGCGATCTGGTTTCTAAGTTGGTGCCTCTTCTGCTTGTCCCATCTCCAACTCCATTGGCGGCATCGTACAGTTACAATCCACAACGCATTAGTACAATTCACGTTTCGCTTGCCATATGGGTGAAATCCCTTGTTAACCATTTTTGACTACCTAAAGGGTTACTTTCAAATATGAAAACGCCAGGTTTCATGGATTGTGCATGTTTTCTAAGGTATTCGGCGTGATTCCTGGTCGACATCTTCATGCAATACCTCATGTTCGAGCGCCGAATCAGTTCAATTTGTTAGTGTTTCGGCGACCATACGACTGTTTCTGCGATGAACAGCAACCATCACACTGGAATACGTAAGTGTAATTAACAGTGAGACATATTGTATTTATATTTGTGTTGATATATATTGATATTTGGTAATTTTGGTGTGCCTGTCAACTGATTTGAGCTCTGGGTTAATAGGTGAAAGTGGTGCAGCATTTCGCGTGAATCGTCGTTTTCGGAGGCCCAGGGTCCCACCTGTCAGGCTACTTCCGCTGCACGTGAGCACCAACGAGGAGTGTGGCTTTAGTATCAGGGTAGGAAACAAAAATGTACGAGTAAAGTTTCAATATGTCACATTCCATGTCTCATAATGGTCTTTTTGCGTTGCCCACTGCCGCCTGCAGTAAGGAGGGGAGGCTTTATCCCTATTGCGGTTTTCAGTTTCCAACTGGCAGGCGGCAGTGGAAACTCTGCCTGTCTTTACTTTCAAAGATTCACCCTCTGAATTGACTGTTATTCCTTGAGTTCCAGGGGTAGGCGCTAATGACGTTGTCAGTCTTCTTCTATCAGCCACCTTGCTGCCCTCTGGAATGGCATCCAAAATTATGCATTTAGCCGATTGACATCATGCCGACTGATCACTAACACAATATTTTTATCCTTTTATATTTATAAATTTTTATCTAGCACTGTTGTGGTATTTTTTGATGGTCATTTTCACTTTTTTGAATCTCATTTCCCGAACTTCTACCTTTCCAGGCCCAGAAAGGATAAACTGTTCATCCTGCTGGCCCCGGTGTTCTCATTCAATATCCCACCAGCTGCTGTTTTTCATCACGAGGGTCCTTATGAGAAGCTGCGAATCTGTCTCGAATATACAGGAATGCCAATGGATCCAGCCAAAGGTTCCTGGATTCTCTTAGCTATTTTTTGCCCGAATATATCATTTATTACTCAAAAGAGGTTCTATCCAGATGTCTCATTTATAAGATCGG